CATCCATCCATCCATCCATCCATCCATCCATCCATCCATCGGGTCGTTGGGTAGCAGCTTGAGCAGGGAGCCAGCTCTTCCGGGAGGACTCCAAGGCGTTCCCAGATCAACCAAGAGATATAGTCTCTCCAGTATGTCCTGGGTCTTCCCCAGGGTCTCCTCCCAGTCGGACATGCCCAAAGCACCAGGGAGGCGCCCAGGGAGCATCCTTACCAGATGCCTGAACCACCTTAACTGGCTCCTCTTGATGTGGAGGAGCAGCGGTTCTACACCTAGTCTCTCCCAGCTAACTAAACTTCTCACCCTATCTCTAAGGGAGAGTGCAGCTACCCTGCGGAGGAAACTCATTTTAACTGCCTGTATCCATGATCTTATTCTTACAGTCACTACCTAAAGTTTGTGACTATATAAGTGAGAGTATGTACTTTGTAGACCGACCGGTAAATAGAGAACTTTAGTATTATAGATCAGCTCCCTCTTCACAACAACGGACTGGTACAGAGTCCACAATACTGCAGACGCTGCATCAATCTGTCTGTCAATCTCACACTCCATTCTTCCCTCACTTGTGAACAAAAGCCCGAGATACTTGAACACCTCCACTTTAGGCAAAACTTCACCCTCGACCTGAACAGAGCAATCCACCCTTTTCTGACTGAGGACAATGGCCTCCGTTTTGGAGGTGCTAATTCTCAAAAGGGTATCTAAAAGCTAAAAGTAGCTACTGGCCAGCTAAATGAAGCAAAATGATAGCTAAGATCATTACACTTTAAAGTGAACCATGTTTTTGAAATAATTATAGAATTTATTTTTATGGGGATATGTTTTGTAAGAGGATCAAATTGACTGAACTACACTATATTTTTGTTGTTTAACTATGAAATTAAATAAAAACTACACAAATCAGTTAGACTTATTTGCAATACAATAGCTTTTAAACATGTATTACTCTATCTGACTAGATTTAAAAGCAATCTGGCACTAATCCTGCAATACTTTTACAAAGTATATGATTTATATTGCTTAAATGAGCATACGCTGGTGAAGATTCTCAGTCATCCAGGACATGGTAAATTCAAAAAAGTTCAAAGCAAAAACAACTGGACTTTATTTTGCAACAGAAGTCTCATCCAAGGAGCTTTCTCAATTCCAAGAACAGAAAGTGTGGGGCTCGAGTTATAAAGCATGATGTAAGCTAGATACATATGCAGATTGCCCTATCACTCCTCACAAGTGATGGGGCGGCTGTGGTTAGAGCATTCATCCTGCAATGCACGAGGTGGAGGTTCGATTCCACCAGCAGTCACATGCCAAAGTGTCCCTGGGCAAGACACTGAACCCCCCCCCCCCCCCCATTGCCTCTGATGTGTGTCCCATGGGTGTATGAATGGGATAAAGCACCGACTATTCTTTGTATAGATCAGTGTTGTATAAAGTACCTCAAAGTGATACTTCAGTGAAAGTACAAGTATCTTACCATAAAATTACTTTGGTTAAAGTCTCCTTTAAAATTATTACTTGAGTAAAATTCTTAAAGTATCTGACATTTAATGTACTTATATGTAAGTATCAAAAGTAAATTTTTCATATAAAATGTACTTAAAGTAAGAGTATTAAGTAAAATAAATGGTTAGAATTTCCAAAACAACATTTATTGGGTGCAATATCCATTGACAAAAACTTGGAATGTTTGAACTGAACAAAGAACGATTGTTCTTTAAAAAGTCTGATTCTACTTAAGTATTCAACCTTTATTAATAATGCTGTTAAATCCCACATTGTTGTATAGTCGGCTTGTTTACTGAGCTAGTTTCTGTTTGGTTATTGCTTGTGTCTTTCTGAATATAATAGTTCCTATGCTCTTGAATGCACCGTGGCTGTTCCAAAGCTTGTGAACACACTGCTCTTTAAAGTGCAGATCTCACTTGGAGTTTTTTTTCCCTCTCCTGACACGGACGGAGCCTTGTTGTTCAAGCTTGTTTGTGCTTTACTGGTTTACTGCTGTGTGAAAATACCAAAAGAAACACAGCAAATAAATCACCCTAAACTGGATATCTGTCTCCGTGCTCTGTAATGGGAAGACTAGTGGCCCAACAACTTCAACTACCTTGCTGCTCTAACCAGTTAAATGTCCTGGAGATCACCAAACCTCTCCTTTTTAGCAGCTACCATCATTTTCACACCTATCAGGAATTTACAGTGGCTCCACTGTGAGTCACTAAAGCTCTATTGTAATGATTGATATCTGCACATGCATCTAGCTTGATCACAGCAGTTTTCACACAAGCGACAGGGGAGAGGCTGGATTTGTGAGTGACAGTGTCAGTGAGGGAGAGAGGGGCCGTGTGAAGTCACAGACTGGGAGAACAAACGGGCATTGCCCAGTCAGATTTCTTCTAATTTTATTTTTTCATTCATTCAACCTTTATTTAGACAGGTTAATACCATTGAGCTTCAAGGACTCATTTACAAGAGAGACCTGAAAATTATATTGTAGGAACGAGTAACAAGATGGCTAAGGGAAATGTATTGAAGTAAAATACACATTTTATTGAGGAAATGTAGCGTCAAAGTAAAAGTTGCTAGAAATGTAAATAACGAAGTAATGTAAAGATACGTCAAGATTCTACTTAAGTACAGTAACAAAGAAGTTGTACTATGTTTCAACACTGGTATAGATATAGTAGAGTGTTTGAATGGGTAAATGAGGGCAGATTGTGTTGTAAAGCTCGTTGAGTATACGATAAAATAGAAAGGCGCTATATACAGTAAGTACAGTCCATTTACCATTTACAGTAGGGATTGTTAGGGTCGTTGTCAGTCTGATTGACAGATGAGCCGCTCTGGTCACATGGATGAAATTCCTGATAGAAAATGACTGGGTATCAGGCCTAAATGAGCATATTACAAAGAAGACTGGGTGTTTTGAACTCAGAGTAGTGGACGGGGGAGAGGGCAGCCCTGGAGGCCATCTTATCACCAGCAAACTGTTTTTTTTTTGTTGTTGTTTTTTTTCCCCACCATGGGAGTGTGCTGTTTGTGGGACTCAGTTTGTTGGTGGCTCCTCAGATTGAAGAAGTCTTTTGGATGGAGGACGAAACGTCTCAGCAAAAAAACTTTTTTTTAAATAAATAAAATAAAATAAAGAAACCGTCCTGATGACCTGACTGGGCATTGTTGGATTTTTACCTGGATTGTTGATCATAAACTTTGGTATTACAAAGAAGAATTCAGTTCCATTCAGTTTACACAAGTCATCTCAGGGCACTGAACAGAAACATTCATATACAGTATATCAAAAGTAAATTAATCACATTGTCTGAGGAGCTTTGTGTTTAGAACATGTTATGCCGTTTTAAGGTAGATCTGCAATAAATTAAGCTCATGGACATGGAAAAACTTTGCATAAAGAAACGAGATGATCGCTCCAGGGTTTTCTAACTCGGTGCATTTTAACAGTGCGAGCTCGTCTGGTCCTATTTATCACATTTGGATGATTCAGACTCCCAACAGGTAAACACATCGTGACGTAGTCTGCCACCAGTCGCCCTGTCCTCCCCCCCCCCCCCCCCCCCCCTCCTCGCCGTCTCGCTAGCCTCCCCAGCTGCGTCCCGCCGCTGTCCCCGTCTGGCCGCCCGCCCGCCCGGTGTCTGCTCCGCGCTCTGCCCCGCTCCCACCCCCGGACCCCGAAGCCTCTGCCTCCACGTTCACCCACCCCCGGCTCCCGGACCCCCACCAACGTCTCTCCTCCGTTCCACCCCGGTGAATGCACCACCAGACGCCGTGAAACATGACTGGCATCGCCGCCGCTTCTTTCTTCTCCAATTCCTGCAGGTTCGGGGGCTGCGGTCTCCAGTTCGAGACGCTCGCCGAGCTCATCGTCCACATCGAGGACAACCACATCGGTGAGTTGGGGCCGCCGGGGGGGGGAGGCTCGGCGGCTAGCTGGAGGCTGCTGCTAGCTAGGTCCTAGCTAGCTCGGCTGCGCATTCCGCTATTCCTGCTGCGCTCGACGAGGCTGTCCGGGAGTGCGAGTTCCTCGGAAGCTCAGACTTTAATTAGTGTGAAAACAGACGTTTTTCGTGTGGATTCTGGTGCTTTTTTAAAATCAGGGTATGACATTTTGTGTTTGAGGGCCGCGTAGTTGTGATAGGTGTAGCATCCTGGAGCAGCGGTTTTTCAGCTAACGCCGCTGAGCAGTCTGTTTACATTTGCAGGCCTGCTGAGACAGCACGGCTCATCTCCCTGTGCCCGAGCTGCTAAAAGTGAAGTCCCACTTGTTTTTTTTTACCTAATGTTTCTTATCAAGACATCTCTGCCTCCAGTAACACTTCCTCTATTTTGGTGTGCCTTAAAACCACTGGCACCAGTGCATCAGTTTAACTGAGTTAGAGACATAATTAGATTTTTCCCCTCAAGCCAAAAAAGCTTCAACTTGTTGCTCACTTTTATTAGATTTTCACATGAAACCCTGATAATCTGTCGCTTACCTTGTACAAATGAACTTTTAGTTTACGCTTGCTGCAGAAATAATTCAGAGAAAACAAGCATTTGCAAAGTTAGTGACAACTAATATTTATTAGTAGCAGTGCGAATAATGTGGTTGTGGCATGGTTAACTGATAAAATATAAGCAGTAAAACAAATTGAACTAAATGTTTATTCATTTTGTTGCTCAGATTTAATGAAAAACAGCATCCAGTCTAATTAGTAACCTGCAGTGCTTGTTCATAAATATTTTACAAGCATTACATAACTTTTTGAAGCACCTCCACGTAGATTTAACCATCATTAATCCTGGTAGATTAAACTTTAATCCAACATGAAAGATGATTCAAATGAGCTGTGTTTTGAGTTATAAATTATCGCCAAATGGGTAATTATTTAGGAAAAGAAAATCTGGGCTAATCATTTGTGGTATGCATCCATCCTCATCATGAGGCTGTTTGTTGGATGGAGGTGAAGGGGTAAAATGGATGCTTCATTGAGCCAGTCTCCATGGCAACTGGCTGTCTCTTAACAGGCTTTGGGGGGCAGTCTGTTGGCTGAGTTATTGCACACCTGCTGTCTCACTAACAAAGAGCGTTGCAGAGCCACCAGCGGTGGTGATGACACACCACGTGATGTCACATCACACGCTTTAAAAAACGGCTTGTGCTCTGGATGATGGAGGTTACAGTTGAACAGAGATTTGAGCGAGCATGAGTTGGAATACATTCCTCTTACCCATAATATGCTCCATCATGGATCCCCTCCATATTTACCCAGAGGGGGATGAAATTGGCACATTGTTCCAATATTTTACATGTTGACCTGCATTTGCTCAGATTTACAGTGGTGTTCTTCTTACCCATCAGTCAACAAATTAGGAATATATATAAACATGGGTTACAGGTGTAAGATCGGAAGACTGTTGTGTAGGGAAAGAGTGACGTTCTGTGTGAGTGCCATAGC